GGCGGTCTTGCCAGCATCCTCCTACTAGCAGAAATCAAGTTCTCTGGGTATTAGAAAGTACCTTGGACTGAAAAGTGATCAAAAAGGCTGTTGGTACCTGCTAATCTGATACAGGGAAAGTGTGCATTAACCCCAAATCTGACAAGCTTTTTGTAAACTGGAGGATATGGAACAGGCAGTTCCTCCAGCACAAGAGGACCCTGATTCTGTTTAAGAATAAATCGTGTCAAATTCAATCATAAGCCTGTTTAATTGCAGTTGGTAATGTGGGTTTTAAGTATCAAGTAACCACGGTACCCCAGAAATATGCACATCTCTTAAAATTAAACTGAAAGCACCTCCTTTGTAGCCTTTGCTACGAACAGTGGTCAGAAGCAAATCGATACAAAATCTAGGGGGAAAAACCAGAATAAAGCTTGAAGTACAAATGGTTAATTTGAATTCTTGAGGGCTGCAAGTGCTCCTACCCGGCTGGACACGAAGTCTGCCAGTGGACTGGACAAATCCAACCCCGTTGTTTGCTACGCACTGGTACAAGCCAGAGTCCTCTTGGGTGACGCCGCGGATCCGCAGACGGTTTCCCACCGGCAGATGCCGTGGAGAGAGACGGAGGGGAGCTGCGTTGTGGAGCCAGGCGAGGGTCGGAGCAGGGCTCCCGCGGACGTCGCACCAGAAATGCACAGTCGCTCCTGCGGCCACCGTTTCATCTTGCAGTCCCTTGGAGATTGAGGCCGGTTCTAGAAAGGGAAATAATTTTACATAAGCCACCGTACGTTGATCTTAGCCTAAGTCCCGAAAAAAATACTGCGAAACGTTACGCAAACTGATCGCGTACAAAGGCTAAGCAAGCACCACGCACTTCTAGTTCTACACAGCCTAAAGCTGTTTTTCCTCATGCACTTGCTTATTTTAATGGTCTCTCCACTTATTTTAATGGTCTCTCCCTTCTGTTCCAGACAGTCACATGTTTGCATTAACGCTGTAAATAAAACACCTGTATTTTTCAAAATAATTCTGCAGTGACACCCCCGTAACAAAAGGTGCATTTTGCGTCAATGTTTTCTCGGTTACTCTAATGTACGCATTTCAAAAACCAAACAAAAACAGTCACGAAGGCAAAAAACCTCCAACAACAGGAAAATCTGCTACAAAGGAAAGGGGAGATTAGGAACAGCCACACAGAAGAGGCCAAATATCGTTCCTTTTGCTTTTGTTTTTGTCCTCATCCAAACATATCACCTCTCCTCCCCGGCTTTTTGCTTACATACAACCTCAAAAGAGAAACATCTGATCTCTGGCACATTTCTGACACCGTATCCCATCTACACTTGGCGCTCTGCAGAAAAATAAATAGAGCAGTTCTTCCCTCGGAGTTTGTTATCCTTTACTGTTTAATTATTTCAGACTGCGACAGATGTGAAGAGATAAATAGTTATGGATTTTAACCTGGGCGAGTTGATGAGATATGGTCGTTATGAACATATCTTTATTCGTTATTTTAATATGCTTCGGTTGAGAAGGAACATTTGGCTGTTTGCAATCAGATGCCAAAACCAGCAAGCACACAAAGAAAATGTTCATTGCCCGGACGTGAAAAATTCTTTATTTCTTACCGAGTACAGTAAGTGAATAGTTAACGTATTTCACTGCTCCGGATTCGTTTCCCACCACACAGGAGTAGTTTCCAGAGTCCGATGCCTCAAGCCTGTCCGTCACCAGATGGGAGTGCAGCAGTTTCCACCTGCCTTTTCTCAGCGCGTCCCGGCCGTCTTTAACCCAGCGGACGGCGGCTGGAGGCAACCCACTGACAACACATTCTAGCGTCAGAGAGCTGTGCCGGGGCACCGCCAGGCTCTGGGGTGCCAGGGGGTGAAGTATGTGGAAGCCGCCTGAGGAGGAGCCTGGAGGAAAGGAGACGAGGCTTGTCACTAACCTGTCTTTTTAAATCATGCTCTCCCACCCTGCCCTCCAGTCGGAGGTTTGCCATGTCTTTCAAGCGCCGCTAATTGTACTTGGGACTAAGCACGATGCTCTAATGCTCTCTTCCAGAAGTCTTGCTCCGAAATCGGTCTGGCAACTGCAGTCTTAGCAGTATCCCCTTTTCAAGGGCTAAATGCTCTGGCCTCTTGGGATTTGCAGGGAGAAAATTAGAGGGGCCAAAGCCCAACTGGAACTTAATCTGGCTACTGCCATAAAAGACAATTAAAAAAATGTTTCTGTAAATACATTAGCAACAAAAGGGGGGCTAGGGAGAAGCTCCGTCCCTTACTGGATGTGGGGAGAAATACAGTGACAAAGGACGAGGAAAAAGCTGAGGTACTCAATGCCTTCTGTCTTGGTCTTTAATGGTAAGACCAGTTGTTCTTGGGGAACCAGCCCCCTGAGCTGGAAGGCAGGGACGGGGAGCAAAATGAAGACCCCATAATCCCAGAGGAAATGGTTGGCAACCTGCTACACCACTTAGCACACACAAGTCTATGGGGCCGGGTGGGATCCACCCAAGGGGACTGAGGGAGCTGGTGGAGGTGCTCACCAAGCCACTTTCCATCATCCATCAGCAGTCCTGGCTGACAGGGGAGGTCCCAGTTGACTGGAGGTTGGCAAATGTGACGCCCGTCTACAAGAAGGACCAGAGGGAGGATGCAGGGAGCTACAGGGCTGTTAGCCTGACCTCGGTGCCAGGGAAGGCTATGGAGCGGATCATCTTGTGTGCCATCACACGGCATGTACAGGACAATCAGGTGACCAGACTCAGTCAGCGTGGGTTTATGAAAGGCACGTCCTGCTTGACTGACTTGATCTACTTCTACGACAAGGTGACCACTTAGAGGATGAGGGAAAGGCTGTGGATGTTGTCTACCTGGACTTTAGCAAAGCCTTTGACACTGCTGCCCACCACATTTTCCTGGAGAAACTGGCTGCTGATGGCTTGGATGGACGTACATTTCTCTGGGTAAAAAAAGACTGGATGGCTTAGCCCAGAGAGTTCTGGTGAATGGAGGTAAAACCAGTCGGCAGCTGGTCACAAGCGGTGTCCCCCCAGGGCTTGGTATCGGGGCCAGTTCTGTTTAACATCTTTATCCTTGACCTGGGCGAGGGGATCAAGGGCACCCCCAGCCAGTTTGCAGATGACGCCAAATTGGGTGGGAGTGTGGATCTGCTGGGGGGAGGGGGCTCTGCAGAGGGACCTGGCCAGGCTGGAGCCATGGGCCCAGCCCAGTTGGGTGAGGGTCAACAA